GCCATCATCACAGGCTTCTCTCAGGTATCGATACTATCAATATTTAGATCGATGCGCTCACGTATTAACACTTTGTATCTTGTTTCTTACATTTGTACAGGTGTAAAAAGGACAATTTGTGGAGCAATGTCACGGTGACAAGAAATCAGGAACTCCCTGTGTAAGAATGAGCCCTGGTAAAACTATACATTTAGTTTAACATTGGTGGTGGTGGTCCTGTTAAACAATGTTCTTTCACCTTTGGACAGAGCCAACCCAGCTGTTCACCCCTTGCTAAGCTAACTGGCTGCAGGCTTTAGCTTAATATTTAGTGTATAAGTTTTCTTATGTATAAGATAATATAATAAAAATATAATGTAAATAACTATAAATACGCGTATTTCTTAAAAAAAGTATTCCTGTAATGATTTGGTTGTATTGATGATGATAATAATAATAAAGAGGCCATTCTTTTATTTTAGTTTTGCTACTTTTACATCAGTAAAGTATCTAAATGTTTCTTCTACCTCTGATAAATACAATAAAAGTATTTGGATCCAAAGGAATCCAGAAATAATTGATATTTCATTTTGTCATTAAATTTGAGCAGTGCAGCAGATTGCAGGTCTTTAATGCTTTGCAAATATGAGTCTGTAACAAATTACCTCAACAGTCATGAACCCAGCCTTTTTGAGTTAGTATCTTCTGTGAGTATGTAATGTTATGAATCAAACTCACCTCTCTTCTGCAGCTGCTCCCACCGCTGCAAGCAGCACCACGAGGCTCAGTCCCACAGAGTTCAACATTGTCGCTTTGTGTAAGTAAACTCCTTGTTTGCAACTGTCTGACCTCTGGATGGTTTAGCCCCTTTATAGAAGACTTCCATCAGATAAAGATACACCTTTGCCTCAACCACATACTGACGTCAGAACACACTTTACATTGGTGTGGGTTAATGATCAATCTGAGCCGATTAGTTTATATCATGTAAATGTTAACTTAATGGTTGTGACGATCATTAATTGCCTTAACTTACTGTAATGTGCTTGTATTCATCAGGGTCAGGTGGTTTACAAATGAATAAAACATAGCCATAACAAATAGACTCAACTTGCATAAATAGACTTCAGTTGCACTAAGTTGCTGCGTAAGCTTCTCTCTTGACTACTGTTATCTTCCTTTTCCCTCCTTTTTTCCACTGTGACCTTTTGTTTCTTAAACTTTCATAGCATCTTCTCCATGTCACTGTTGAAATTCAACATGCTTATTAATGATGGAGTGTTCTGTTTTAATTTAATAAAACTTTATAGAGTCTGGGTTCATTTCAAGTAACCCACACCCTTGCCTGACAGTAATAGATTAGATAAAGTGTTATGAAGTATAACTATAATGAAGCTGGACTAATTGAAAGGAGCAAAGGTCCACACAATACCGGACCATAAATGCATGGAAACAATAATTGGGTGGACCAGTTCCCTGTCAATAAAAGTCTGTTTTTTATTATCTGATTTGAATTTACGTAAAGCAGTGGTGGAATTTGTGTTCATAACAAAGAGCAGCCTCCTCACACTTACAACCTACCTGCGAGCCGACTTTGACGACTTACTTTTTGTCCTCCTTCAGCATCTGCATCTGTTTTACTTTGGTGATCCATTAACTTTTCATGTAGCGCCACCATCAGGTCAAATTCCTAATTTATGTAACATATATAATATAGACTCTGGAAACGGATACACTACCGCACATTAGCATTTAGCTCAAAGCACCACTGTGAAACAACAATAAAACATATTAAAGTTTAGTCTTCATGACGCACCAGAGGCAAAAACAAAGTTTAATTTATCTGTGAGGCTGAAATGCAGCTGGCCAACATCATCTGTGCTCAGGTGGACAGCATGACATTACAGACTCAATCTAATCTGGTTTTTCATTTTCAAAATGATATAATTGTGTCCCTGGAGTGCAGTTTAACCAGAGTGCCCTGTCAAAGAGTCCTCATTGTGGTCCTCAGATCCTGCTTTTTTGGTGCTAAATCGCTGTAATGTAACTGCACTGCAGTTCACAAAGATCACCTGTGACATAATCTTCAGATTTGTTTTGATACTCTTTAACTGTTCTTTCAGCTGTTGTTGCTGTTGTTTTTCAGGCAAATTAGGTAATTTGTTGAAGATTATATAAATAAAAGTGGGGAAGAAATGTGCAATTTATACAGAAATCCATATTTGAAATGATGCCATATAAGAATGGATCAATCTTTTTTTTAATTGAATATGCTGTTTAAATATATACTGTAGTGTAGTCTGACTTTACAGTAAATCCTTTATTCATAAATTCAAAATAATGATCGCAATGTATTTGTACTTCACAAGTCACTTTTTCTGCTCTGTACTGACTAGAAAGTTAGTTTTTTACACCAAACCTTAAATGTTTGAATCACTTTCCTCCACTACAGCCGCACTGTAATGCTGCAAAGAAACTGTATTTATTTTGCCACTTCTTCTTTCTATTTGTGTTTCTATTACTGCATTGCAGTAGTAACCTTTATACTTCGTAATAAGCACTAAAACTTTTGCTGAGGTAGCTGGATTCTGGGCATGTGATTTATTGTTTTGCACTTTTTTAGGAAGGATGGGATTTAATGTTTAAAGGTGTGAAAGTTGAGCCAAATAAATAGTCTTTCTAAGTAATAAGATATTGCTCTAAGATAAATGCAAGGTCTGCTTTTATGTAGTCTGACTTTCTGGTTTGTAGATTATTCATTTAAGATCTGACCAGCAGATGTCAGTGCAGCGCTGAGTTTAGCTCAAACCTGTAGCATAAGATAATCAGAGGCAAGGTGCTTGCAAACACCTGTACACCCAGCAAAGAAGCATCCAGTAGCAGTTTTATTCTAAAATACCGTCTGTTCGTGGGAGTAAATCATCACCTGAAGTTTAGAAGTGGACAATAATAAACACATAGTGTATGTAGGTGTTATTATGTTGTCAGCAATTTATGTAAGCTGCTATTGTGGGCAAGTCCTCACCAACATCCGCACTGTGCTTTTAAATCCAACTTTGAGCCCATTGAGATTAATTAGTGTAGGAGTCTTTTCTTTCCTCAGAGCTCTCCCAGCCTCAGTCTGGCTAACAGTGAAATGCTTGCATGTTAACTACGCCTCAGCAACCCGTGTGTTGCAACCCTGCTCCTTTGCTGACATGTGCATCACGTCTGTTATCGAGCTCCTCATAAGATGTAGAGACAAGACCTGTCTCAGCTTCGGCACAAACCCAGGACGTGTGTGTAGATGTGTGTCCCAGACAGAGAATCAAAGCAAACATCACAGGCTGTTTCTTCATAATGATGGATGAAAGCACTAATGCTTTTGGATGAGAGACACAGGCCGCTATGTTGCACTCAGACACAAGCTCACAACAAAAACTGTCTGTGTGTGTGTGTGTGCACGCATAATATTACCTTAACCCCGCTGATAGCATCTTAAAGTTTGGTTTATGGAACACGCACCGCTGAGATAAGAGATTAGTCTTGTGGATTAGATTTGTTCCTACTTTATGTGCTCAAACATCCTCTTCTTTCTAGTTTGGGGACACGCATTCAGTCAAACACTGCATCACCTGACAGCTTTCATGTAACATTTTACAATCACTCCAGCAGTTCATTAAAGCATTGTACTCTCTGTTTTATGAGGTGCTGTTAACTTGGAGAGTGCATGTGGTGAGCAAAGGCTGTGTCAACATCTGGACAGACTGCAAAGCTGAGGGTTACTGGCAAGTTTTTGGTTCGCACATTCCTGAGAGGCCTTCGGGTTCTCATGGGTCGGTGGGTTTTTAAGTGAAGGTGTCGGCTGGTGCTGCATTGACGTGTGAGTGAGTGTGTGGGTCATTGTTTCAGCCTCACAGCTTCATTACTCTGGAAATGAGCCCAGTATTAGTATTTTTTTAATTTCTGATTTCCAGTTACAAGAGACAGTTAAAGGTGTACAATATAGCATAATAATATGATTTAATTTTGCTTTCTTGTCAAGAGTGAGATGAGAGGATTGATATCACTCTAATGGCAGCAAGGGGGAACTTCAGTAAAGAAGACATAAAGACGGCAGATTTTGTCTTTTACCTTTGGACAAACGCACGGTAGCTTTTTTCTTGCTTGTTCCCGTCAATGTCCTAAACTAACACAGGATTAGGAGAATATCCTTGGGCAACAAAGAAAGACTAAGAAGTTATCACACATTTTCACACACCTTTGGGCTAAGTGCTCCTATTAAGTCCTTTGTAATGCACACATGAACTTGGATAATATTAAATAATTATCTAAAGAAATTAAATTAAATTCTTAATTTGCAGCGAAGCCTCTGAAACCCTTTAATGACCATAGATCTTTGAGAACACTATAACTTGAGCACAGTAAGGCTCTGGCAGCAAACACTACTTTCCAGTTCCATCAATGTGCGAAGCAGATTGCTGATGATACATTTCACATCGTCTGTTCCAGGGTTTCCTAAATGTCCTCATGCCAGGCACCCTTACATAGATAAACAGTTGATGACAGGTTTTATCCATGGCTGTATCAGCTCGATTTGATTCTCTCATAAACAATAAAGACACAAGACGCTTATATATTCACAAAACTGAAAAGAAGAAAAGCAAAACAAAAGACAGATTAAGTTCAGTTCTGCCATATACTCTGCCCTAGATCTTACACACTGGTGCTTTAACATTTTCTTGCAACTAATATTAATAAACATTTTTCCTATTTACAAGTTTTAGGCAGGCATTACAACATCTGAACAGTTTAACCATACAGTTACTAGATTTGAGATGACTTCACTAACAAATCTGAATTGTCAGCATGTGTGAAAAGCTCACAATCAACTGCAGCATTGCATATGCATCATTTACATAGATTAAGAAGATTAGGGGTCCTAGGATCAATCCTTGTGGAACACCATACGTGACTCCTCCTGATATGGTACCATAAATAAAATACGAACTGCATGTGATTATTTGATTTAAAGCAGTTAACTACACAGTTATCATATAGTATTGTTATATTTGTCTATATTGAAGTCCATAATGTGGTTTTATGTGATGTGACTGCAAGTGAGGAGAGTCAAACCCATCATTTGACTCATGTTGTTTCCTGTCAGGTGACATTGTAATGTGATGACCCTCCGCTAAGGTCAATTACGCTCATTTTAAAAGTTCATATATGTTATTATTATTGTGCCCCAAGACAGCTCACACAATATAATTATGCACCATTCCACTGCCAAATTGAAGGTCAGTTGTCTTGTTTTGAGCTTAAGTAAAGATTGGTGCATGTTCATTAGTACTGACTGAGATGTCCTGGGGCACTTGTGAATTCTTAAAATGGATGGACTGCCTTTTTGCAACAGAGTTTTACACAAGGAATTTCAGTCCTGCTAAAGGAACAAAATGCCTCTAGAGGAGCCGGATGTTCTGACACGATGGAGTATCGGAAGGCGAATAGTTCCCCATTTCATCAGACATGCTGGTCATGACCCGTGTGAAGACCTTGATACAGTAAAAATCAATACGGAGCAGCTGCCAAACTCACAACATCAGAGGTTTGAAGAGGAAGCAGAAGGGAGAGACTTTTGGCCTTCCTTTAATAAGCCTTTATCCTAAAAAATGTAGGACACACATCAGCACGTTAGCCAAGCTGGAGCACCACACACACACACACACCTCCCACACAAGAGCAGAATAAAAGCAGTAACAACAGCGGCAGCAACACTTCAGTAGGACTGACAACAACCACCTAACAAATCACAAACACAAACAGTGAAGCCCTCCTCCCCCACAGTGCAAACTAACTCCCCTTCCTCCCCCACAGCCCCCAGACATTTTTCAAAGCATATCATTAGTATCATTTCTCAAGCGGTGAAACATGAACTAAACCCCCAAGGCACTCTGAGATCGTTCCCCATAAACAAAGCCATCACGCCGCACATCGGGAATCCCGGGACCTCTCACCTTACTTCTGCGGGTTGTCCAAATATCCAAATGGAAAATTTAACAGTTGTTCCACAGACTGCAGAAAACCTCCGAGACATACTCCAGTTTAAAACAAAGTCAATGTGTAAACAAGACAGTGGCATTCACAAATGGTGTGTCAAACACTTTCATCAAAAACACAGGATGGGCAATATCTATTCCTGTTCCAAAAAACTATTTGTTACCATGGCACCATCCTCTGCTTTAAATCACCAGACAATTTAGAAAAAAAGGCACCTGGTACTCTCCTCTAAACCTTGTAGAATTGAGGCTCTTTGTCCCGCTGATGATCTCCTCTGACATCCGGCGAGACCTGGAGGTTTTTAACAAGAGCGGAGAAATCAACAGCATCCATTCCTTGAGAGAAAGAGATTGTTCTATTATCGATCCGACAAAACGGGTTCTAACAAAACTGGTGACACTGATCATGTAATTGAGGGGAGGGTAACCTGGGAGAACTTGAGGGTCAATCATGCAGGGCTGATAAAGGCTCTGGGTGAGATTGTTTGCACCTTTATGACCCAACTGCTGCTCCATCTTTACAAAAAAACACTGTTATGACTGTGTATTTTATATTTTTAGGTACAACATTTACATTTTAGCACCCCAAATCTCTCTGGCGTAGTCTCAGATTATCCATCTTGTGCTAAAATGCTACTTTTGCTTGCCTCACCGCACTGAACGGCTCATTTAGGGCAATACTGTGCCAATAAATGCAGATGTTTGCTGTTTTTTGTGTAGCTCTTGAGAGTCTTAAGTGGTTTCCAATTTGCAATTACATCCCTATCTCTCTTAACCCCAACACCCACCCACGCCAGATTTCTCTCCACACTCTCACACTTGATGGATAGGCTACAAACTCAGCAGCATAAATCAATGATTCTATGGAAAGACGAAAACCATTGCAGGTGGTTTTAGGGCCTTCAGGGATTGGACACTGAGGATTATTTAAAACATAAAACATCTAGCGGGCAGTGGAGAAAAGTAAGTATTTAC